GTCATCTCTGACTCCATCTTGTCTTGATCTATCGTATCGATCGATAGATTTCTTGCATCTAGGCGGTGTTGCAACCTGATTTTAATTTTCGCCATGGCTTTGTGCTGGCGCGCGGGGCGAGTGATTTTCGTAGGACCCGTCGCCATTTCGGAGACTCAGGGTCTTGCGACTATGATAATGATGAAATTAGCTTGTGAAACTATGAATTGAAGGGTTGAGGGGATGGGTAGGTGAATTTTTCATTGATTTCAAAAAAAAAAAAATTGTGTAATGCATGTGTGGGTATACTAGACCAAACTAGAACTCGATGGAATAGAGATAATGGAATCAGCGAGAGACTGATAGACTGAGAGAGAACGATCTGGTCATTTCTCGTAGGAGAGAAATGATATCATAAGGGAATGTTCTAGCACTTGGCTGTGAACAACACAGTAAGTCTGGAGCAAGATATAAGGAGGTCTCAACCTCCATCCATTCGTCGTAACTAAGTTTCCTTTGTACGAGAATATAGAGTCAAGTCTTACATATCACGAGAACACACGCGACAGCGATTATAGAGACCTACTGTGAGCATAATTTCCCCAAGAGTATTCGTCGTCCTGCTCCTATATAGCCTAGTTACTATAACAAAGAGACAAATAGGCAACTAGTTCCGGTAGATGTTATACGTGGGTCTTGCTGATGAAGAACTGGGAAATGAATAGATGGTCTTCTCGAAGAAGAATTGGTTAAACAAATGTATTGTAAAGGGTAAGTAAAAAGACGTTGCGTGAAGAGAAGACCTCTTACACGCTGAGCCATCATATACAGAAATAGAAGCATTTGATAGCCTGCATCAAACATGAGTGATACCTGCCCATTTACTTGCGTTGATGATACTGTGCTAGTCATTTTCCTCATAACTCTCTTTAGTTATCTCTGGGTGACTCTTTGCACTACTCATTCCCTGAATAAGCTAAGACAACTTTATCTGCTATAGTCCAACACAAATTTGCTTTATGATATTTCAGTTTTTAGTTTTAGATTTACTGATCGGTGAAATAGGGGTGTGGTAGGTGATATAATGAGGAGGATCCTAAAGCTGTGAGCTGAAGGTTTACAAAGTTGATGGTTACTTGTAGAATAATTGGACTTGGTATTTCCATGGTTAGAGGACTGTTGGAACATAACAATTTGTCGAACTGTTGAAAATTCCGACTCTCGAATTTAGGGCTCAATCATTGTCTGTTTCGTCTCAGGATCCTGACAAGATCGACACTCTCTACACATGTCCCGAGTGCGCCAATCGCGCCTACTGTCGCATATACGTTTGGATATTTACGTACTACAGTGTACCTTGGCTCATCATGGTAGATGAGAGGTGGCTGGTCATTACTAGTTTTGATAGGCACATGAGACTAGTGGGAATATCTCCCTTAGATGTATATATAATTCCAATGTTCGCATTGTTGTAAAATTGTTAAGTCTTCTTTCCTTCATCACATATATCCATATAATATCTCACAGAGTGTATTTTCCAACACGAACTTTGACGAGATAGGACGCTATGTCTATGGGAAGTGGTTGGCGTATGATCACACAATTCTGGATATGAGATACTATTGCTGGACGTAACGAGTCGTAAAGATGGTTAATTAAAGCGTCGTCAGAAAGTCCAGTTTTCTGTACCACATCAAACCAGTCAGAGATGTGTGTTGATGTGTCCTTTTTGGCCTTGCTTAATTGTGAGAATTTCCCTTCTGGTAGCATAACATTCATCCACATCTACAAATGCCTGTTCAAGAAGAACTAGAATAGATTCACATAAAGCGAATTTAATTGTGCCATCTCTGTTGATGCCGTGCAATATTGTGGAGTAAGCTTTGCCTTTCAAACGAGAGATTTAGTACAGCATCTTAGATTGTTCATTAGGGCACCAATCAATATTAGCAATGAACTTCATGCTCATATTTCTGATGAACTGTGACAGTTTTTTCCGTAACGTAGAGTCATTAGCGGAGAACACGTCCGGGTCAGGGTGGTTGGCTGATCGATGTGGGGCGAAGAGATTCTGACGATAGGCCGCTAGTTGATAGTCCAGGTAATGAATTTGCTGCTGCAAGTTGGCATTTTTTTGCTGCAAGTGCGAACTACTTGAACTTGCAGTCTTTTTCTATCTGCCTAGTTTTGCATTGGCGTCTGCAAGCTTCTGGCTTTTCTTGAGAAGTGTGTCATAATCATTCTTCTACTGGAGGAGCTCAATCTTTAATTGCATGTCAGTTGTCTCTAATTTCATAATCTCCTTGCCTAGCTATGCTGTGTTGTTACCCTGAATCTGAATCTGCATAGCTTCGACAAACAGCTGCTGGTTTGTAACAGAGCAAAGGAATGTGTATTTTTCTGAGAAGACTGCATCACGCTCATGGAACCTTTCTAGTAAGGAGGCATTTGGTTGGTGTTGGAAGATTCCAGTACCTTCTGTATTCCTAGGGTCACTTTTAATTTTGACAGCTAGATGTGTGCATGAGATAGTATGGTTTCACAAGTTATTTACAGAATTTATGATATTTTACGCGCGAGGCCAGTCTTATGTGATAGAGGTAGACGATATGCCACGACATGGTTTTAAGATAGATCGCTGAGGTAAGATCTGGTGTGTTAAATTGTCTCCAAAGAGCAAATGGAAATCTCGCTAAGTTACGACAAGTTATATGCAAAATGAGTAACGTGTTGAGGTTTATTTTTTACGTGATACAAATATATATCTTGTTCTTTGACAGCTAGTGCATTTTGAGTCCGCAATTCCAGAAAGCCAGATCGTGAGAGTAGCCACAAGTTGCATGGAAGCCAAGACGACGTTTGCAACTAACTATACCGTCCTGGCGATGGAGCCATCAAGAGTTTGAATGACACCAGGACGGTGATAGTTTATATAACAGCCAGATTAGATGCTGGTTTAAGTCTGACATTTGCATCGCTCCATAGTGTGGAGATCTAAAAGCTCTTTTTGAGCAAGATCGTCTTTTGCTGTCAACGCAAAGCCTGTCTTAACTCGCTGAACCGACGTGATATTTTCGGCTTGGAAACGGTGCGCCTGTGATATAATTAATCATAAACTGCCTGGCGACAGAAGTCGGTGAGAATGGTGAGTTCCGAGGTGAATAAAAGTCGTTTGTCGACTTTTGCCTTTGGAGCGTCTTTCTCTGAAGTTCCGGCCGCAAGTTGCGACACAGCTTTTACTAACAGGATTGCATTTTGTCGCAGTCCGTTTCGTGCCACCATATACCAGCTTCTTATAGTGGGCTTAGTTATGACGGTGTGTGACTTTTAGCTCCTGGTTTCGCGAAGTTTCGAAGGAGGATTTACCGGGCGAGAAGGGAGGACTAGTGGTGTAGAGGCCAGACCCGAGGCCTTACATCGCGCTACAGTGGCGCGTAGATAGACTCCCATGGAGTCTAAGAATTGTCTATTCGACCCATTGGTCAAAGGTTGGAGTGTTGCTTCCACGCCAGAGATAGCGGCGAAGCAGGGTGCCAGATTTGCTAGATAGTCTATGACTCAATTAATACAATAAACACACACACTCAACTCAACTACCGAAGAAGTCGGACAGAAAAATGTCTCGGTTCAAAAATAAGGACTATCCATACGTACGTGGGTTGTTTGCTTCTGACAATGCTTGTATTCCGTATTTAGAACAGCAGCTTATTCTATTCCTAGCGCATGCAGCCTGTTTTCACCAACAAAGGTGTGTGTGTGTGTTTATTGTGCTACTTGAGTCTGTGAATATCTAGCACATCGGGCTCCTCTCTGACCCAGCCCACACCCTGTACAGTGCTCCTATCCTCTTTTGTTACTTGTAAGATCTGTTGAGCGGATTGGTTTGCAAAAGCTTGTGGCTGTTAGGCACAGATTGTATCACTTGGTGAAGCGAGTGGGAAAGTAATGGAGTCTGTAAATCTGTCGTGGAGAGTTGTTAATTACTCCCACTAGGACATAGAGTGCTATATAAACTATATTTTGTAATAATAAAATCTAGTGGTTGGTATTTACGTCAAAGCGCATTAATACTAACCTCACAATTAATGGGAGATTAATGACGTGTATTCTACACATCCCTGTCTTTACCATAATTGGAAGCACCAATTTCAACAAGATCATTGATATGTTGCCCGTGATGAATAGCTATTCAGCTCAGTGTTTACCCGTAGAATTCGGCCACTTTTTCCACGGAACCTTCTACCCAAAAAAATAAAAATGGTAGCAATGGAAACTGCGTGCGCGGGAGAAAGTCTCAAAAAACCTGCAGTCCCAGCCAGGCGAGGCCTAGACACCGGGACAACATGAGGTACGCATATTCATCTATATCTCCCTTCTTTGTAACAGTTGAGGTCGACATGATCCAATCCGCCATCGCCGTATCGGGTGCTGGGTACGCTCCGGAAACTCTTCGGATGGCTTCTCCTCCATGATCAAGGGTTGGTGATGAGTAGGGCTCCGGCCCTAGCATCTGATTTGATGGTGGTTAGCTTCATGATAATGGTGATAGGGGAATGCGTTGAGAGATGAAGACGATATAGACGGCGAAAGCGATTGGGAATCCTCATTGAAGTGAGGACTTTGGTACTCAATCTCGGCTCTGCAGAGTCTACAGTGAGAGCTTGAGGTTCGTAGGGGACACCGCTGAAAGGTGTTGAGAATAGTCCCCCTTGTTCCGCATGTATATAGTTGGAGATCAAGAGATCAAGTCAATCATGATCAGTTTGTATAGTCCTAGAATTCCGGGAGAAATAGAATTGAGGTTATTTTTCATGAGTTATTTTTTACTTTAATTACATACACTTCGCCTGTCTCAAGTCAGGCTCCCGGTTATCAAACAAAAATTGAGGCTATATTGGTGGTAGCCAACCTGATTCAGCCAGGCCCTACTCGTGCTCAGGTTCCAATAGTAATAAGGACAGTGCTAATTTCGTAGCACAATAGTCTACAAATAAAAACCAGAGATTGATATGGTTCGGAAGTCAATCTTCCCTTCCCCTAGGCCAATCTAATCCTCTCAACCTTAAGTATACATCGCACCCCCAACCATGGAGACTCTGTATTGAAATCCCACCTCCAAAATACTCTGCATATGCTCTGCTAAGGGGCAAACCATAACCTAGTCCTGCAATTTGGCTTTTATTAATCTTGGGATTCAAAAAAGCATCTAATACATTCAAATTATCTGTAGTATCTGGAAAACTTTTCTCTGAAAAAGTCGTAAAAGAATAAGACCAGATTTTGGGCAAAATCGCAGGGCTAATTCCGCCACCTCGGTCTCGAATTCGGATAGTGATACCTGAGACCGGCTGAACACCTTGAGATTCAATATCAGGCTCACGTTTTTCTTGACTTTGTGATTGCAAAGTTAAAGGTCTCACTTTTCTATTGCTGGAGGTTTCTTCTTTTGTAGCAATCGTAATAATGATCGGTTGTTTGGAATTTCCAGATTCAACAGTTGCACGAAATGCATTTTTCAATAACTCTGTGATAATATATTCAAGATGCATCGGTACAAAGGTAAAAGTAGTCGAGTTATCTCCCTCAACAATCCAAGTAGGTCGGACACCGTAATTCAACTCGCATATCTCGGAAACAAAGCTTCCACAGCAGTTAACAGTTGATTCTGGTGCTAAATTTGTGTCTAATACACCTATATAATTTGATGATGAATCTCCGAGCTTTGTAGCTGGATCCGGCAATTTATATGAGTGGGAAAAATGATGCAAGGCTATATGCTGCTCAGCGATAAGTCTCGTGCCAATTCTTGCACGTATATGTTCGTCAAGAAAGTTCGAAATCTCGTTCGCGTTGACATATTTTCTACATTCAAGGAATCCTTGAGCTAGTGTTGATATGGTATGGGAGTGTGTCTCAACAAGATCTACTAAAATACCAGTAAAAGTTTTTTCCTCATCAATAGTGGTAATAAGTCGAGTGCTATATGGTAAAAGTTTAGCTAGCGATTGCAGGTATATATTGTAGACTTTCGAGATACTTGGATTGGTGACCACAATGAAAGGTAAGTTTCGAAGAGCTTTTATTCGATGTGCAAGTCGCACTGGAAGAAGAGAACGTGTGAAGTTGACAGACAAGAGTAGTGCATCCGCGGTTAGCGGCTGGTCGCTGTATCTGTCAGACCCATTAGAGAAATAGGAAAGGAGGCGGTAGTAACTGGCTACTTCAACAGGTCTGCCAGGCTAAGTTCATATGTTGGTTTACTCGTAAGATATCCAATTTCATTATCAGCGATAGCGATGTTGCTTGGTGGGTGTGACCAGTTCTGCACGCGTGCTGTAGGCCTCCACTCATTTACTAAACATTTGGAAAACGCCCTGCTATTGGAAACTGTGAACTTGTGGAATCTATTTCTATATTTTATCATCGTAAAAGATGAACACAGCTTTTAGGCACGAATATGAAGATTATGGCTGTAGTAGTTATTGAGGGGGGGATATGTACGCGTAATTACGAATCTCAATGTGCCCGCATAAAATAGGTTTGTGCGCGATAAGTTTCCTCTCACAGGTTAAAACATGTTACATGGGGGTACGAGGGCTGAACACCTGTCAGTGGTGAACTCTGCGAAACTGAGGGTAAAATATTCTTCCAGAGGCTAGATTCAGTCACGACAGAGGGTTCTTTTCAAGATTTCTGCGCGATGGCAATCGGGAAGAATGTCGTTAGCAAATATTTGGTCGAAAATCCGACCTGCAAAGATTCCAGAAGCGCATAACTCAACGGATATAAACATATATACCCCAAATGCGAACCATAGATAGGCTCAAATCTGTCCAATGTTGTATTAAAACAACCGACAATCCTCACTTTCATAATTCTTGCGGAAGATATTTTCTATCCAAACTCATCTCGCTACTAAACGAAGTAATCCAAAAGTCAAAATCGTAATCTAAGATACAAGTTGAGATCCATCCAGCCGCAACAGTCTCGCACTGTGAAGGTACGAGCGAAGCACTAGCATTATATTCCATCAGAACCTCGGCTAAGGGTACCAATAACTCGAACTGCGACGAATCGCCACTGACGAAATACATGAGACATCTTGCCGGCATTTAAACAAGGGAATTCGTCAAAAGCTGATGTAACGCTTTCTCCGACCTGAGCTCTCCCACCAAAATTCGGCCTCCACGATGAGGGGTCTAGCAGAGACAGGGCAAAGCCGGGGGAGACAAAAAAGTCTACAAAGTTTCTGTGATGGTGATGTCAACTGAAAGAATAAGGAGAAGCTACAATGAAGGAAGTTAGGAAATAAAAACTGAAGAGACCTCGGTGAACAGCTTGATGAGATATCCAATGAAGAAAACGACTCCTGGATGACATGAGGATATGCTCGGATAAGGTGTGACCAGAACAGAATGTAAAGCTGAGATAGGAAGGACTGAGACTGAATGGAAAGGAAAGGAAAAATCTACCGGTTGGAAGGGTATCAAGTGTGTGTGTTTTTATTGTACTACTTGAGTCTGTGACTATCTAGCACATTGGGCTCCTCTCTGACCCAGGCCACACCTTGTACAGTGCTCCTATCCTCTTTTGTTACTTGAAATATCATTGACATATTCCCCTTGATGAATAGCCATTCAGCTCAGTATTTACCCGTGGAATTCAGCCACCTTTTCCACGGAACCTTCTACCCAAAAAAATAAAAATGGTAGCAATGGAAACTGCGTGCGCGGGAGAAAGTCTCAAAAAACCTGCAGCCCCAGCCAGGCGAGGCCTAGACACCGGGACAACATGAGGTGTGCATAGTCATCTATATATCCCTTCTCTGTAACAGTTGAGGTCGACATGATCCAATCCACCATCTCCGAATCGGGTGCTGGGTACCCTCCGGAAACTCTTCGGATGGCTTCTCCTCCATGATCAAGGGTTGGTGATGAGTAGGGCTCCGGCCCTAGCATCTGATTTGATGGTGATTAGCTTCATGATAATGGTGATAGGGGAATGCGTTGAGAGATGAAGACGATATAGACGGCGAAAGCGATTGGGAATCCTCATTGAAGTGAGGACTTTGGTACTCAATCTCGGCTCTGCAGAGTCTACAGTGAGAGCTGGAAGTTCGTAGGGGACACCACTGACAGGTGTTGATAATAGTCCCCCAAAGGTATCAAGTGCTCGGGCGTGTCGTGGCAGAGTCTGAGAAGGAAACTACGCTGCGGCGCGTCAAAATAAGGTTCTCCGGACGGCTAGGCTTGGTGTGATTCAACACATGGATGAATTCTGAGTTAGTCCGGTCAATTGGTGGGACGAGATTCATGTATTAATATGGAATTTCATCTGATACAGTCCGGCTCCACCCGTGCAGGAGCTTCCATAGGAGTACAGACGGTGTTAAATACCTAGCTCTTTAACACACAGATAAAATATAGCATGTATTAAGGAAATAATGCCCCTCAGTCATTGAGGCTGTAGAGCGCGACGATTCAAGTAACTACCGAAGTAAAACTAAGTACAGAATTTGCAGTCACGTGTGCATCAACAACGTGGCCTACTTGATAGCCCCTATTATTCCAAAATTCTAACTGCAAGTATGTTTACGTCATCATAAGCTCACTCCAGTTGAATAAGGCTATACTCATAATTCAAGCGTTCTCTGTTGCAGCCCATTCTTAAAATTGGTTCAGAAATAAGAGGAATTTCAATATAGCTAAGTCTCCTCCTAGATAAACTTACAATAGTCGTAGTTTTTAGGTGACAAGGGATAACCTCTTACTGATCCTTTCCCATCATTTATCTTGTTCATTGACGGCATCTTCTCCTATCGATTGATATTGCTAGCCAAGGCTAGCAAATGAGTCGTCAAAATTCCGTAAGATTCAATCATTTCTGTATATGCACCTCGGTGTCTTCTTCTGCAAATTCCAAGATGTCGCCGGCACTTTCGCAGAACAAACTAACATGATCTGTATCTGGTTTGCTGGGTGGAAATAAGGCACTGATAAACACTCGTCAAAAATGGTAAGCAAATACTCTACTAAATCCTTACTAGAATCCTTTTATAGCATTGACGTCCTGCGCAACCTTTCCACCGGCTTGTTCGACAAACTTTTTGGCACTTTACTAAAATTAGCTGTATTAAGCATATGAAGTGCAGTAGATCAGACTTGGCTGTGTTTTGTTCGATGTCTCCCTCTTGTTTAACTCCGATCTAAATTTTCTGTCAGTTTTTTGCACTCTATATTGTTATGGAAGAAGCTTACCATCAGCAATCTCCATCCACTGGCTTTAAGTCTATCTGTCTCTTCATTACTGATGTACACGGACATTTTTTATGAGAGGTGATGTAGAAATCGAATTTTCGAGGTTTGTAGAAGTACGATTTAGGGTAAAAATATGTTAACTCAAAGTTGGAGTTTGAAAGTGTGCCTACATTTAAGCCGGGGGATAGCATATAATAAGTTAGGGGACCAGTGCTGATAGTGAGTAAAGAACTAATAATAACAGGGGTGTAAGCGGTTTGAACTGTTCCCTCACTTAAACGTCATCCGATGACGGATGTAAGGAGTGCTTGCGGGCAAAAAGTGCTTGTACATGCATACGCTGACATGGAAGATGAATAATAGAACACTCATTCCGCTGGTGGTGTGTTAGTCCGTGCAGATTGGGCGGCATGACATCCTCTCGAACTTTAAGTGACAAACTTTACTCCTTGGGCTCGCCGGCTCCCATCATTGATTCGGTTATTCGACCCTGAATTTCTTGGCTTAGGGCTCATCTTGGTCAAAAAATTACCTTCATCATCTAAGAACAATCAATCAGAAACCTGCTCAACATATTCTACTAAAGGTCATTGAACTAAAATGTGATTCCTCATTGTGGCGAAGGTCTCTAGCCTTACTCTTACGTTATAGAGAGCCTCTAGCTTGAAACTTGCTTTGGATTTCTTCCAAGGTTTTACTCTCTGCCTCACAGCCACCTGCATCTGATCAAGAGACCGGCTCGTCAACAGCGTTAACTGATCAAGGACATGTACATTCTAGATATTTCCAGATGACCCTGGCCTGTTTCTAAACCTGCCCTTGTGGGTTACAACGAGGCTTTAAAATTCACGCCTTTCAGCTTTACTGCCGTTCGCCAAGAGGCAACTTTTCGTAGTTTTAGTACAGAGTGGGCGACAAATCTAGGACAAGCTTAGCTAGCCCTGGACTGGGAAAGGCCAGAGTTCAGCCTTACCCCGCTTCTTATCTGGTATGGCCTCATACCTTATGAATTGATAATGCCCATGTTGAATATAGTTATGAAATACGACAGATAGAGTAGTTATAAGAATTCTTTATGTCAGCTTACGTCATACTTGAATATTTAAAGATCCAAGCTCTTTCTGCCTTTAAATATCTTTCAAATTTGCCAGTCTGGAGTTCCTGACTCTTTCTAGGTAGTAGGCTGATAGTGCCAATGGGGATCATTACAGACAGGCTCAACTCATACGCATCGCGCGAACTGTTTCTAAAATTTGGCCGGTTGAAAGAGTTATATGAATGAAAAGTTTAAATGGAGCGGTCATGGCACACTTTATTTGTCGGTAATCCCCACCGTATTCCACTGTAGCCCCTCACCTCGAGGAGATTGTAAGCATAGGCCAGAGACATGATTCTTTTTTATCTTCCGTTCTCGTAACCAAGCGAAACCTCAATCCCTCAAATAAACGGTAATAGCCTTAAAAGCATTCTAACGAAAACCAATGAGGCGACACCTACATTTGATCTCCTTGATGATTAGCTCTGAGAATGACCTGTGATGTAATCATATTCTAGGTCTTGTCGGAGTTGAGCTAGGATCAGATAATAATGAGTGTTTTATCGGACAGTAAACACTCTCCATATCCGATTTCTGTAGATCGGGACTGATCATGACCATAGTTACAAGCAGCATTCAACATCTATTTATAAAATTTCAAGGGAAAGGAAGATTTGAAATAAAATATGCTTCGACTTTCGAAAGAAAGACGAATGACCTCCTGTCAGTCATAGATTATGGTAAAATTTTGTCTGATTACGTATATGAATTTATAACGTGACAACTTGAGGTTCCTTCTTATTCGAGAATAGCGCGGGCCTTATGTAGTAATTTCTTTATTCTTGTACATGCAGATTACATCTCCTAGGAATGGAGTGTAGATACAAGACATACCGAAAAACACATTCTCATTGCAATCACATTGTAGTGTAATCCGAAAAAACAAGATTTGCACGAGCTCGTGCAGATTTGGAAAATCTTATAACCTCAGTTTTTATTGTTGTCTGCGATACAAAGCCCGATTCTAAACTGCCTAATATTCAACAAGTTCGAATCTTAGGGCCTCTTTTAATTTTAAAGCCCTAAGCTACATTCCTCAGCGAACTGTGTGTATCGGAACGCTGCAGACAGACCCAACTCACTCGCACTACAGGAATTGCTACTAATATCGTAGTGGACCAAAAAGCAACATCGAAACAAAAAAAAATATAACAGAATAACTAAATATCCCGGAAATGTAGATTTAAATCAATTAGTTCCTTAGATCGGAAGTATTAAAAACTAGCTTTGATGTTCATTTAGAGATATGGCGGATGCGTTTACTGTAGGACTAATGTTGGTATGACAGGGCCAATCTCTATGATATCACAGGTAATGAGAATGGATTTGCTAATGCAGAAGCGGTGACTGATTAAGATGTACATGTATTTGGATCTATGGGGTTGGATGGTGCAGTGGTACACCATCCGGGCCGTTCTCCCAAGTAGGTACTGGGTAGCTTGAACACCTACCTCATTCGAGACAAGAGAAAACTGGTTCGAATCCAGTCAGACCCACACACCACTCTCTCTCGCGGTGATATTGTACTTGTGGGATGATGAAAGCACACTCGGATAGCCGCAGGTTTTTCACGCTTTTCCCTGTGGTGGGCATGTACGGAAGAGGTCATACGCTGTAAGGGTTAACCTCGGGTGGTATCTGCTAATGAAATCTGAGTGTGAGTGTTCTAATCGTCAAATTGAGTCATCCTTATTTATTTATTTTTTTGCATCAGATTTTAATTGCGTATGCAGCTATCTACCTATGACACAATATCAAAGAAAAGTACACGATAGATGACTCAATATTAAATCAGAGCACTCATGCCTTAGATTTCATTTGCAAGTGCCACTGCGAAGTTATTGCGGCTTTTTCTTCACCCCAAGTCAACCCTCATCCGTGAATACCCACCCAGGGAACGTCTCAAAAACCCTGAGTTATCCAAACATGCCTCCGTCATCCATCAACTTTTCTCCGCGCGAAATATAATCTGAGATGTCTCCTTCCCAAGTGGAGTAGCTTCCCAGGCTACTCAAACTATACCAGAGAACATCACCAGGAGGCGGATCACAACACCTTCCATCGTCGGCTTGTGTTTATAGTGTCAGCTGCACTCTCGCAAGCGAATTCTTGGCGCGCACAAACCTCAATTCGTAAAACTCTTGCCAAAATTCGATATTTCACGCCCGTCGAAAACGTATCAGTTTTCTGCATCATCTTGTAAACTTGTCCTGATCCTTCTCACGTCCATCCCAAAGAGATATCTCCCAGATTTGTGCTCCACGCTTTGCTTCCTCCGTCGGGTATAAATATCGGCGTGGGCGTGTATTTGGTGACCGGCTGAGGCCAGAGAAAGTCGACGAGAGGTGTGGTCATTGAAACGAGGATGTACTATGTCGAACCTTTTGAGCTGGTTCGGAAGCTGTAATGATTGAGACTAGAGGTATCTGGAAGAATAGCTCGCACAGGAGCTTTTAATTGAAGTGAGATAAAAAGATATAATTGTCTGTCTGTCTGTCTTCCTTCCTCTTTCTCTCAGCTTATATATCTACACATATCTACTACCTGACGTAAGATGATAATATCTAGAAATAGCTTACTTACATCACAGGATACAATCCAAACATGTTGTAGCCAGGATGTAATCCTAAACCGACTCAATACCAGTCCACCACGTCTGTTACACGGACGCCAAGCATTCTCTAGCTGAAAATTACCCAAAACGCCAAGGTTTTCCTGAGGCAATCACAAATTATGTCAGGTACCAGCTTGGCATATTATTCTGACAATAATGTTACGATCATGTTAGAAGAATGGAATTTATATGAATCACGAAACATTAATTCAGGAATACGAATTCCACCGGGTTCTGATACTGGTCTGACATACTAGGAAATACTTGTAGACTAGATGAAGCTTAGTTGAGAATCGGACTCTTTGGGAGTCAAAGATTGACATGGTGGAGTAATTTGAATTTTTGCCTCGTGGGCCAACTTCTTGGATATTGCGAAATTTGACTGAACTTAGCTCTGGGAGAATATTTCACTCTCAGGTTCGTAGAAGACACCGCGGTGTCATGTCTATTGGATGGAGGGTGTAAGCCTAGCGCGATAAATATAATCATCATTATCAAAGTTGCCAGTGCCGGAGCACTTGCTCCGGTAGGGGAGGACGAAGGCTGAACACCTGTCAGTGGTGTCCTCTACGAACCTGGGAGTGAAATATTCTCCCAGAGCCGAGATTCAGTCACGAAAAAGGATGGGATGAATTTTAATTGATGTATTTTCGACTTGAAGGAGTTGCACTCGATATTTTGGTCGATAAATCAGTCAACAGAGATTTCACAGCCGGAACAACGTCGAACAAAAAGTCATCACCACCAACATACGATTCACGAATTGGCTTAGGTCTATCTGGGGGTCGTATTCAAACATCCGACATCTCTTAAACCCCTTTTATACTTGCGACGAAGCATTTCTCTATCGATCCTACACCTGCGACCTACCTCCATACCCGACCGATCACCTACCTACACACGCCCTAATGAGGAAAGTCATGATGGAAACGGGACGTGTACAAAGGAGGAAGAAGAGGGAAGATACACCGAGGGGATTACGCAAATCCCCAATGAAGAAAACAAACCAACGTTATGATATGAAGGTGCAAGGCTAGAGCAACGATGAGATCTTGGACGGCATTTATATTTCGGAGTCAATGAGGATGTCAAGGGCTCGGGCGCGTGGTGGCCGAGGCTGAGAAGGAAATCGCGCTACGGCGTGTATACAGCGGGTTTCTGGACGGTTAGGCTTGGTATGATTCAACACATAGGTGAAGTCTAAGGTGGTCCGGTCATTAAAGTGGGACGAGGTTTATCTGTACTTCACGGTAGTTAACCTGATCCGGCCCAACCCCACATGTGCTTAAGCTCCAATAGGAGTGCAACGGTAGCCATGTAACCTAGCACGTTAATGAACAAAACAAAACAAACTTG